TGAATAAATTGTTATTATTGTTTTCTTTGCGCACAAAAAGTATTCTCTTAGCTTCGTAAAATTATGGTTGAATTGTGTTAATTTGTGTTTCGAAGATGAACGAAGGTCTTAAGGGTTTGGAATGACATGAGGGTGAGTAATTAATGACAGAATTTTCATTTTTGGGTGAACTAACCCTTTAAACTACCTTACTAACTATTAATAAGCAGCCAATTAGGAGTTTATTGAGGCAAAAGTTGTTGGCTTGTTAATGGATGTGACCATAGTTTTATTTATTTATTAATTTTTTGTACTTTTTTTCATTTAATTTAGTAATTTTGTTATGTGCTTTTGTCTATTTATTAGGTTATTTTTATTTATTTATTCATTTATTTGCTTATTTTTTTATATTTGTATTTAACTTTAATTGATTTTATTAAATTTTAGGGTAACACTTTACAATACAGGTCCCATCAAGTATCGTTAATTAATGCACTAATGCATTTTGATCTTCTGGTGAAATGACAAAATTGTCTATAGTGACATACGTCAAACTTCTTCAATCATTTTGTTCTCAAAAACTCTGCTGACTGCAAGCTTGCATTCAGCTCTGCCTCCATCCAATCAACAACTGATGAGCGGAACCAATTCTCTGCCCTACATTTTGGGCCTGTCCAAATACCCGCACTTGTGGTCTTGGCCACTTGAGAGCGCGTGCATGCAACAGGAAGTAAGTGTGCAAGACTGTCCCAGGTCTTAAAAACGCCAAAGCACTGTGCCCTTAACGCACACTAAATCCACACTTCAGAGCGATATTCGAGGCTAAGTGTATCCCATTATGCATCATGTTGTGGAAATGAATCATGATACTTTTTGCCGAGATCTCGTGAGATGTCGCAGAAACTTTTCCAGTGTACGTTAAATATTAATAAAAATTAGATATTACATATAATTTGGTAGTAAAACGTAAAAAAATGCACATTTTATTGGTCCAGACTGCAGAGATATGTATTTTGTAGTGCTGTCAAAAGATTAATCGCAATTAATCGCATCCAAAATAAAAGTTTTTGTTTGCATTATATATGTATGTGTACTGTGTATATTAAATGGGGAATATATAAATACACACACATACAGTATATGTTTTGAAAATATTTACGTTTATACATTTATATATTCATATTCCTATATTTTATATTATATATAAATATATTTAATATATAAACATAACATTTTGTTCATGAATATATACATAATAAATATACACAGTATACACACATATATTATGTATAAAAATGTGTTTAATACATTAATGGGATGTGATTAATAATCGCGATTAATCATTTGACAGCACTAATTAGTCTATAAACTTCTAGGGTATATGCTTAAGAAACTGTCAGATAGATAATCTATGCCCTTTTTTAAAGTCTGGATGCGATTAATCGCGATTAATCGTTTGACAGCACTAGTATTTTGTGAAATGTTTCCAACTGCTCTTTATCATTTAATTAGAAACATCACAGTATAATTTAATTGTGCTATACATAAAAACGAATGAACAGACATTCGAAGTGTATTTTAAAATGCAAAGTATTGAAAATCTAAATAAAGCTCTATAAACACTTGCACTTGTCCCATTGGGTAATGAAAAGTTCTACATGCACTTGTGGTCTTCACACCCATTTGAACACTTTGACCAAGTACAGGAAATACGTCATGTACTGTAAGTAGACACGTGTTCAAGTGCAAAGACCACAAGTGTGGGTATTTGAACAAGCACTTGTCCTTTTTGATAGTTTTACTCAATTGGAAGTCACAATAGAAAACTGAAGAAAATAACATGTCTAATTCTGAGACTATAAGTTAAGCAATAGTAGCTTTTTTTAAAATACAGCCGAGCACATCAAGCTAGCAAAGACAAAAACATCTCTAGATTCTCAAACTGCTTAGAAGGTCAATTAACAAGTTACTCTCAGGAGATTAATCTTTCCTGTCGACTCCATTGAGTCCCCAAAGGAAAGCACAGTGTTTCTTGCCGAGGCTCTTGGGATGTGGTGTGTCTGCCTAAACAAAGAAAAACACTGGCTAAACACTTCCTAACTCATGCTTTGGATCAGATTAAGCATTCAGGCCAGTGCTTTGCAAAAGAATTGATCTATAAACTTCACACAATGGGTTTAGCAAAGGCTGATTAGCATTTTTGATGCTAGAATGCAGAAATTTCAGGTCACTTGTTTACATAAGTGCCCCAAATACCTGGTCACTTACTTTGGATCTGACAAACAGCAGTTGAGCAATGCTATCTGCTGTTGGGTCACCTCAGCTTCTGAAGGACTCGCTATCACTCCAATCACATACATTTGCTCTGTGTGCTTTAGGTCACCGAGTTGGCTGGCTACACGGCACGTGTGCACAACATGTTCTTGGTATTTGACCAAGTCCAGAGGGGAATATACAAACGTTCATCTGCCATCGCGACTGCAGGGGAGATGATAAGCGGGGATGATAACCGACCTGAGATGCACATCGATGGGCCTCTGGAAATCAAAGGTCTAATGAACGTAGCGTGATTCTGCTGCTGTGTTCACCCAAAACCAAAAATGAGCTCATCTTCATGCCTAAACCTGTATGACTTTTTGTCTTACGTGGAACATTAAAACCCACAGAAGAAAGAAAGTCGTACAGATTTGGAACAACATGAGCAAAAGTGATGGCAGAATTTTCTTTTTTGGGTGGACTGTTCCTTTAATTGCTCAGTCATGCCCCTAATGAAAGAGTGACATTTTTTTTTTTGGAATGAAATGTAACTAGAGATAATTTAAGAGATATGTAGAGAGAATAATCATAAAACTTGATTGACACAGAGTACACTACCAGTCAAACGTTTTTGAACATTAAGATTTTTAATGTTTTTTTTTTTTTAAGAATTCTCTTCTGCTCACCAAGCCTGCATTTATTTGATCCAAAATACAGCAAAAGCAGTAATATTGTGAAATATTTTTACTATTTAAAATAACTGCTTTCTATTTGAATATATTTTAAAATGTAATTTATTCCTGTGATCAAAGCTACATTTTCAGCGTTATTCCTCCAGTCTTCAGTGTCACATGATCCTTCAGAAATCATTGTAATATGCTGATTTGCTGTTCAAGATTTTTTTTTTTTTTTTCAGGATTCTTTGATGAATAGAAAGATCCAAAGATCAGCAATTATCTGAAATAAAAAGCTTTAAGCTTTTTATACACTATACAATTCAA